CTCTGTTCTCATTTGTGGTAATCTGGGTTCCCATTTCGGCGCGAAATGACAGACTGCAGCTGTCCAAGCATAATGCTTTGGAAGCAACTTTGAATGATATAACGAACGTAATTTTTCGTGTGGAGGTCAATCGCAAAATCAGCAGGAAGTATAGGCAATGATAAGAGTACATGTGTATTTCAAGTCTTAATCAATATCAGCGAGCCTTTAGTCTGCGAGAAAAAAATCAACAGGCGAATAATTTGCGGGCCAACACCGCACCATTTTGCACACCGTTCTCTGATCCGGTCCTAACAGCGTATCATAGACCATAGCAACCGTCAGCATCACAGCATTCTGCCTAAAAATTCGACAAATTTGACGCGTATCAGCTTACCAAAGCGGTGTCAAAACCCATAACTCGCAGAGCGATGCCAGTGTCATTACGTGGGAATGCCGCACATCGGTGACAAAAGTCGTGGAGCGAGAGAGGAGAAGGAATCGCTACCCGCAGCGAGCCGCGTCAGGGTTTGACCCTACTTGTCTTTTAACCGCGACGTAACACTACTTTTTCCTCGTTGGGCCTTTCACGCAAGACGACCGGATATGCGGCAGTTTTTCTCTATGGATGTCATGCAAGATTTTGAGCGCTTTACCACGCGTATGATGATAGTGTTCTGCTAATGGAAGTTTGCGTATTTAAAGCATCTGCAGGGTGGGTACAACGCGCGAGTGATTAAACCCAGGAACGGAGCAATCCAAGAATGGTTAACTCAGGTCACGTACAATCCATGGAAAACACAACGGAAATAAGCATAATCTAGCGTGCATAGCAGGCAGAATCTGCCAAGTCGAGAACAATGTTCTTCGCGGAAGCAGGGGCGCAGTGAAGCGGGGGGGGGGGGGGGCTCCCCTAAGCCCGTAATGTTCTTGTTTGTTTTGCCGTAGTTGGTTCCTGCCAGAATGTTTCAAACCGCCGTGAAGCGTTCTCCGGTGATGCGTTCTCCGTTGATGCGTTCTCCGTTGATGCGTTTTCCGTTGATGTGTTCTCCGTTGATGCATTCTCCGTTGATGCGTTCTCCATAGATGCGTTCTCCGTTGATGCGTTCTCCGTTGATGCGTTCTCCGTTGATGCGTTCTCCGGTGATGCGTTCTCCGGTGATGCGTTCTCTGTTGATGCGTTCTCCGTTGATGCGTTCTCCATTGATGCGTTCTCCGTTGATGCGTTCTCCGTTGATGCGTTCTCCGGTGAGGCGTTCTCCGCGAGGTCTGCCCGCTGAAGAAAACCTTGCCTGCGCCCCTGGCGCGTAGGACCGCCACATGCGTGCTTCTATACTACGGCTGGGAGATGTCTGTCAGTGCGGTCTTGTGAGAGTACCAGTCCCCGCGTCTCGCTTAGGGACCGATACTCGTTATATCTCACCTGTGTATCTCACCTCATCTCTCACCCGTGTAGGCCGACGCTCGTTATATCTCACCTGTAAATTTCACTTCACCTCTCACCGAAGAAGACCGACGCTCGTTGTGTCTCACCAGTGCATCTCACCTCACCTCTTATCCGTGTAGGTCGACGCTCATTGTGTCTCACCAGTGTATCTCACCTTGCCTCCCACCTATGCATGCCAACGCTCGTCATATCTCATCTGTGAATCTCACTTCACCTCTCGCCCGTGTAGGCCAATGCTCGTTATATCTCACCTGTGAATCTCACTTCACCTTTCACCCGTGTAGGCCGACACTCGTTATATCTCACGTGTGTATCTCACCTATGTAAGCCGACGCTCGTTATCTTACGCTTACTGCAATATCACGATCGGGTCCAACAGTTCCCCGACTTGCTCACCCCGACTTGGGAGCATCCCGTCCCGTCAACATTATCAATCCCCACTCGCAGCATGCCATCGACCCAGCCGGCAAGGCGCATCAGGTGCTTGCCGCTCCACGACCCCAGGTGGAACCAGCCTGCGAGTCGAGCCCCTCCCCTCATCCTCCCCCGCGTGATCGCCGCGTTATCCAGGCAACGCGCGGCAACAGACGTCAGCAAGATTACGGCGTTCGCCGCCGCCGGTGGCGCCGCCGGCGGCCGCTCGGCGAATTACTGCGGCCGTCCGGGAGTCGGACTCGACCGCGGCGGCGGCGGCAGCGATGGCTGTTTGCGGGGGAGGAGAAAGTTGAACGCGCGCCACGAGCGTCGCCCGCGGCGCCGCGATCGTCGCGTGTTGCCACCGGCGGCGTTTCGACAGCCTAGGCAGTTGACAGCGCGTGGAGCCGGCCACGCGCTCTGACGTCACGCGCTCTGACGTCACGCTGCTCTGACGGCACGGCGGTCGGGCGGCGCGACGTTATTAACGGGCTCGGATTTACGGAGTGTGCGCCGTCACGGGCTGCTGTCAGCGGTGCATTATGCTCTGTCGTCCGCTGGCCAATGCTCTCCGACTTTGCTGCCATCTGTTGTCCGCTGATGGTACTCAGCAGCACCAGTGCCCGCTGCCCACACTGACTGTACGCACGCTGCCGGAAGTCCGATGTCCACTTCCCGTCCACTGTCCACTGCCGGTAATCCACTGCCACTGCCGGCTGTCCGCTGTCCACTTCACGTCCACTGTCCACTGCCGGTAATCCACTGCCATTGCCGGAGTCCGCTGCACGTGTTTCCAGTGCCGGCATTGGACAGAGAATGTCAGCATTCTGCTGTATAAAGTCCACGGTCTGCCGTCGTCAGTCGTCGTCCGTTGGTCCCTGACTTCCGTCCTCCGTCCTCTGTTCTCTATTCTCTATCCTCTGTTCCCTGTTCTTTGTCCTCTGTCCTCTGTCCGGTGTCCTAGGCCTCTCCGCGCGAGGGGTTCCGCGCTCAAGGATGGGGTTTTACCACGTCCTTTCTTGCAACGCCCGCGGGCGTGCTGTCCAAATTCGCACGCTCTCTCCAGCGGGGGAACCTGTCTTTGTACTGACTTGAAGTCTCGTCCATCATTCCCTGTCGCCTGTGGTGGAGGCAATGCCGCATGCTGCCCTTCAGTGGTCAGCTGCGTCCCGCTCCGGGCCGCTCGGGCAGCTCGGGCAGCTCGGGCAGCTCGGGCAGCCCTGGCAGCAGGCAGTGGGCAGCTCGAGCAGCGGGCGGCGGGCAGCTCGGGCAGCTCGGGCAGCTCGGGCAACTTGGGCGGCTCAGGCAACTTGGACAGCTCGGGCAGCGGGCGGCGGGCAGCTCGGGCAGCTCGGACAGCTCGGGCAGCGCTGCTGAACCCCGAGCTCAGCGGCGTCGCCCCCCAGTGTCGCAGAGACCACGCGGCTGCTCCTGGCGGGCCGGCTGACCTCGGGCGACACAGATGAACACGTGGTCCGGATCTCCGCGGGGTTCGTGACCAAGAGGCTCGGCTGGTGAAGGGACTGGGCAGCGGTTTAGGAGACGGTGGCAGCTCGGGAGCGGGCCGCCCGGATGGTGGCAGAGCAGCTGGCTTACCTAGCATTCCCGCTGTCGGGAGGCCATTTCGACGGAAGCGTTTAAAATAAAATGCATTGTCTCGGAATGCGGCGTGTGACGCATTTGCACTCCGAAATGCGACCCAAGATTGCGGCTTTCGGGCAGGGGAAGTTGCGCAATCCTAAGTGGAAAGTAAGGTCAGCCAATGCCTAGCAATGCCGCACCCCTGTCCACGTGTCATGAAAGAACGCCAACGTTTGCAATACTGAAGCTTTGTTGCTAGCCGGGCGGTGTTCGGATACACGCTTGGTATGCCCTGCTCACTTGTGCTAGATGTGGCCAATTTCATGGTTATTTCTGTCGCTCCCAGATACAGCGATAATTAATGATTAATTTGAGGGAATTAGAGCGTGGTCGGAGGTCGCCCGGCACGCTCCTCCGCCACCCCCACCACTGTCCCCCCCCCCCCCCCCACCCCACTCGCCCACCTACACGCCTGCCGGGAGCGCCGTTCTCATCAGGTTTACTTCAATTCGTTCTGCACATTTGTCACAGTTGTTAGCGAACAGCTTGGTACGCGGGCTATATGCGCACTGCCGACAAATTACGATTGCTCTTAATGAGGGCAAGTGGCCTGACATCGTGCTAGAGAACTAGATAAGGCAGTCATTGCGGCACTATACAGCATTTGTCAGAACGCCAGATTTTACTTAGAACGTTATCATGACATAAACAACTCAGTTCAGGTACGAAAGCTCACGTGCGGAAAACAGTAATTAACATAAACATGTGGTGAAACGCGCTGCCCACGCCCATTAAAAGCCAAACAGGAGTTCCACAACCGTGCGTTTTATGGTCTTTGGAAACCATGAAATGACAATCGCTACGGGGGAAAACTAGTGATTACCATGACCACATCTAGCAATCTCCGGCGCTGGCCTTGGCGTGGAGACAACGGGCGCTGAAAGCCACGCCACACAGCTTCATCAGTCGCTCGATAGGTGGCTCATGATTCACAGGAGTCACGTGCGTTGCCAAGCATCGCTCGTGAACCTACCACCCTCGTGAGTGGGGTGATAACACTGTGGCCGGCGCAGAGGGCCTGTTTTCTTCTTTTCTTGCCAGTTGCCTCCCTTTCCGTACCCCACGTCATCCTTCTGGCCTCCGCTCTCTCCGTCTCTCTTTTCTGTTTGCCCTTTTTTCGCCACCCCTGTCTCCCCTGTCTTCCTCCCTTTCCTCTCCGCGTCCTTCCCTTGGTCTTAGCCTGCTAACCATCCTCCATCACTGCCTCTGTTTTGCTCCTCTTTCCCCCCTCTCCCTCTCCCCCTTACTTTCCATCCCCCCTTTTCGCCTTTTCTTCCTTACTTATGGTGGAAAGGGCCATCTGCTGATCCTGATGGAAATCCTGATCGCGATGATCCTGACCTGATGCTGATCTTCATTCTCATCCTCATTCCCACCCACATCCGCATCCTCATCCTCATCCACGCCATCGTCCACATCCAAGCCCACATCCTCCCTCCCCCCACCGGCTCCCGGCTCCCACTTCTGCTCCCGCCTCAGGCACCAACCTCTTCCCGCCTTGTCCCAACCACCGTCTCGCCCTCGCTCCTCCCTCGTCCTCGTCCTCGTCTTTGTCCTCGCCCTTGCCATCCATGCACCTTTGCTCTTCTCCCTTTTCTCTCGCCACATCTCTCCTCTCCGTCTCTCTCGTTTTGTTGTACTGGTCTCCCTTCTCCATCCTCCATCCTGTCACACGAGTCGTTACCAATCATGATGCCGTAGATAATAATAGTGAACAGCTGCGACGCCGCTGAAGTACTTCTCCTGCGCCGCTTCTTCTTTTCGGATCGGGATTCCTGGTCGCTGTTCCCCGCACAGAGGGCGTGATGACGTCAATGACCAGACACATGGTGGTTTCCCTGCACCCACCATCACCGATTCTTCGGAACTCATTTATTAAACCGGATGTTTGTTTATTCACCTCATCGAAGGTTTTGCTTGTCGTAAAGCAAGTATTTTCCTAGTATCAATCAATGTCCTGTTTCACGCTCATTGGTGAAGGCGGAAGTTCTCCCGCTCATCCCAGTATCCACCCGGCAGCTGATTCGAGCCTCCTGCCATCTACCGAGCAAGTCTGAACTACCATATCATAAATCACACGCCAGGCTCCACGGTGGACGATATTTGGCAGCCGGGTGCGCGGGAGTGCATCTCCCTGGATTCAACGGGAGAGGAGGGAGGGAGGGGGGGGGGGGGGGCGGCGGGGGAGTGAGCCGATAAGGCTGCTTTAACATGCCCCTGAAACTTTATTTCCTCCCCCATTTCGCCCGCTTCAAATTGCGTTGCTGCTGCTGAAAAAGCAATAAAATTTGGTCGATTCCATAATTGGTTTGCTGATGAGGAATGACATCTAATTCGAGCCGATGTGGAGCTGCAATTTTGAAAAAGCTTACATGGGATGTACCTTACAGAAAAAAACATCACAGTAAATCAGCCGATTAGGATGGTTTTTTTTTAGTCATCAAAAGTGGCCCGAGGTGCAAAAAGACAGTTTTATGTCGAATGACGTGGCCCGACAAGTAACAATAAAGGGCTAGATTATTTTGTTGTTGTTTTTCGTGTTTCCTGTCAGGATGAAATTATACATAAAAGTGAAACTGAACTGCACGACGTTCTCACCAGGCATGTCGACAATTGGAAGGGCGGAATGGGTTCAGGCTGTAGTCCGTAGGGGTCACCAGGTTATTTAGTTCTTTGGATCAGAGCCCTTTCGATTATTGAAATACCAGCACTGAGTCCTCCAGAACTAAGGAGTGAAAGGAACTGGATAAAGGTGGGACAGGACTGCATGCGCCTGGGAAGATAACTGCCGAGCTTATCCCGCGCAGGGACCCCTCGGAATGCGCTCTGGGCGCCCGTTTGGGGTCCCACCACCAGGCGGGTTCTCGGTCCACCCGTGACTGGCGCATGCAGCCTGCCCCGGACAGGCGGGGCGTCGCGAGGATGCAGGATGAAGCAAGAAATGGGATAAGAGAGTCGGATGGGTCAACAGAGTGGCCGTACTAAAAATAAGCGCGAGTACAACTTTGAAACGTTGGAAAGTTGACATAGACATAGGCGTAGGACTCCTTGCGTTTTGGTGCGTCGGTGTTGCGAGCGGAGATTTCGCAGGTTAAAGATAACCGACCTCCAGTATACCAGGAGATTATAGTTAAACGACGCTATCCAGACACCGCTGGTTATATTGAGAAAATCCAATGTTCCTCGGAGAAAACCAGGAGAATGGGAATAAAGTTGGGTTTAGAAATAGTTGGATATAGTTAGGTTGGTAACCCAGCTATATCTCCATTCTCCTGGTTTTCTCCGAGGAATAAGGATCATACTACTGTCTTATCTATGTGAATAATGTTCCTCGCTAATAGAATCCGATGGTTGTAAGCTGTGCCCGTGGACAGAGCTCCGCGTAAAAAATCGACCAACATCACTCCAATATTTCTTAATCTTAAGCGTATCGCATAAACTGTGTTAATTCCATTCCTTGACACCCTTTTTGTGGTGACACCCTTTGTGTGGTGGCTTTGAAGCCGGGTGGAAGATCCACCGCTCGATCGTACCATCAGCGTACCCTACCGTCCCGATAGACTCCACCGTACTCTAACGTACCCTACCGTCCCGATAGACTCTACCGTACTCTACCGTACTCTACCGTACCGCACATAAGCGTTCTCTACCGTCTCAGTTGGTGGAAGCGTCTGCTTTACGATTCGTCTACGCGTGGCGAGGTGGGTTCGATTCACTTCAAGAGTTTTCTGTTTCTACCTTACTCGGATGGCCCCCGGCCGGTGGCAGCGGTCACACTGAGGTCAGCGGTCGTGCGAGGGCGGGAGGAGGCGTGCCGAGCATTGGGACACGTTAAACTTTCGCCACATATCATGAATGAACAAACATGATGCAACACGTCGTAAGCCAACACAGGGAAAGGACAAGGGTCAGGATGCTAGAGACTCAGATACGGGTAGACAAGCACATACGAAGTAGAGGTTTAAGAAGGATCAAGCATGTTGCGGCGCACTAAACCGCGTTGGTGCCACGATAGCAGCACGCAGGACAGCGCGTCCCAGCGCGTTGACTGTACATGGAGTTTGGCGGACACTCAGGCGAAACCATGGGAACCGGGCACGCGGGCGTAACCATGGGAATCAGGGCGCCCTCCGAGGCTAACCTTGGCCGGCGGCTGACTGCGTCAAAAGCTCGAGGCAGAGGCGTGATATGTGCGAAATGTTGCGCAGCGAAGGTAGCTGTGGATCACATCAGACGGCGAACTTGGAGGGCAATTGCCATGTTTTGCGGCAGGCGGGGTGTGAGTACATATTTGAAGCCACTGTAGACTGCAGTCGCATTTTAATGGCTCACTTCATTTTTAATTCATTTTTTTAATATGGACCGAATCTATTAAATCGAAGGGTGTCAGTCATCAGCCCTCCCCCCCCCCCCCCTTCGCAGTGCGTGTTACCTGGGCACTGACCTCCACCAATCGATTGTGAGATTCCAGGTCAATGGCAGACTTTTGTGGTGAATCTTTCCTGGCCAAGGTCTGTCCTGTCCTCTGACGTCATTGGACCCTTAACGCGGGCGCTGCCACCGACCGCGAACCATACCACTCAGGGATAAACAGAAAGCGCCTCAAGCGACTCGAACGCACCCCGAGTTCGGCGAATCGGAAGGTAAACGCTTTGCGCTAACTGCCTAAAATTGGCTGCGCTGATTGGCTAACCAGCTGCGCTATAGCGCGCACTCAGTTGAAATTATTTTACACGCGGAAAACCAGTGAGTCTCGCCGGTTCAAACACGCTGGTGAAAGCCGAACCTTGCTTGACCTTGACCCCTGACCTTAAGGTGGTTTGCGACCGCGGATGGGCGGCGTGATCGATATATCTCCGACGTTCAATATTCACCGCACCGATATTCACGGATTTAAACACGGAGCCAAAGTTCCAATTTCATATTTAAATATGGTCGTTATGTACGAAAAGTTGTCCAAGGATCGCGACGCACACCCTCTACTCCCGTCCAATTATTTCCAGACAGTTGCACACCCTCCGACTGCCTTGACAGCAGGCTGAACAGTCAGCATACTGCCTCAGTGATGATCAGGCACTTCCCGGGTTTCTCTAAAAAAGGTGGCATGTAAAGAAGCGTTTCGTTGTTTGGTCTTCCCGGCCGTGTAGTGGTTTCGGCATCGACCCCGTGCGCAGCGAGTGGCAAGCACATTGCGTTCGGGGCACCACAGTGAAGTGGGACCACATCCCACTTAAAAGGAATCACGTCTCACTTCAGTAGGATCACATCCCACTTAAAGGGAATGTTCCACATTTGAAGATGTTGTAGCAAACATAAGGCATAATGAAAAAGGCTCTCTATATTTATTGTTGTACTATTAAGTGGAAAAGCCGCTCTAGACAGCATAATTATTTATCTAGAAAGTACTGGGTTTAGTAAATATGCTCTTAAACACGTCATCGTGTGATCACGTTATCGTAACTTGCACAAGGTTGACTGAGAACAAACTGACAGTCATTGTATCTACAATTCGTGCTCACAAATACCATATATAAGCAACTCGACAAATATATTCATCTTATCCTTGATTGCCGCATAGCCAATGGAATGCCAGGATTTGAATGGCGTCATCATTGCGTCATGGATACCCAGGTGACCGGGAAATAGTTTTCCCGAAAAAGTCTGCATATTTCGCAGGCGCGTAGCTCAGAAACTAGGAGTGTTTAGGTCTTTAGGAGGGCAGACTGAGAGCTGTACCGAACGACCTTCAAGATGGCGGGAACTCCCTTCCGAGCACCTCATTTCGCCGCCAATTGTTTTCGGCAGATTTGGCGCTGAGCTTCCGGGTGGCGCTATTGCATCGCTCAGCTGACCATCGGCATTATTTGGCTCAGGCTGGGGCACGGAAGGCCCCTTGTTGAAGCCGCTTCGGTAACCAGACCAGTGTCTACGTAAGAGCCTGTCTTCGGCAAGGACTGGGTCAACAGGCCCCGCGAGCAAACCGTTCATCGGGTCATATGTGTTAAGACAGTAGTATTGGCATCATTCCTCGAATAAAAACCAGGAGAATGGAGATGTAGTTGGGTTAGGGGGGTTGCGGAAGGACTAAATCCTAAAGCTAACCACCCCGATTGGGCCAGATTGGGTTAGTATATGAGACAGTAGTATCAGCCAGATGAGGCTAATACTACCGTCTTATCTACGTGAATAATGTTCCTCGCTAATGCACTGAATAACTCGCGTAATTTTGGGTCATATGCTTTTGTGATATAGCACATATTGTAATCAGTACTGTTCGTCACTACAACAAAGCGATTTCCCTGAGCCATCCAACCACCTAATTGATGACGTCAGATTTGAAGCTCATCGAACCATGAAGGTATCATTAGCGATTTCACACTACTCATCCCTCTCCGCTGGAAGTCGTCGCGGATAAAATTCCACATCTGGCTCAATCGGGTTCGTTAACCTCAGGACTTGGTCCTTCCCCAATCCCCCTGTTCCATAATTCGCTAATCCAGTCTGGGCCAATCCCTTCAACATGCTCTTTGCTCACTATAATCCGCTCCGCTATGTGATTTGCTCAGACAACGC